CCCAACAAACCCCCCCCCCCCCCCTGTCCCCCCTAGGTGGCATCTGTTAAGATGGGAAGCAGGACAATAAGATTATCTGTTTTTAGTGTGCATGTATGCGAGTTAAAATATAGGATAACCTTTTCATTTAGATTACTGTTCTATGTCAAAGCATCACTTTGTAATTTGCTTCATGTTTTTTTTTTCTTCACACTTTTAGGGTGTAATTGACTACATCTTCTATTCCAAGACACACATGGACGTTCTTGGCGTCCTGGGGCCTTTAGATCCTCAGTGGATGACGGAGAACAACATCACTGGCTGCCCTCACCCCCATATTCCTTCTGACCACTTCTCACTGTTAACGCAGCTAGAACTCCATCCTCCACTTCTGCCTCTTATTAATGGGGTACATTTGCCAAGCAGGAGGTAGTGCTGGCTGACAGCTGGGCACTTGTTCTCATGGACCTGTATACCTGTAAAAGAATCTGTAGGAGTGAAGTATGGCCAACCTTAAGCTGCTTTCTCACGGCTCCTTCCCTCCTGTCAAAGCCGTGGCTCTCCATTTTATTGCAGGGAGGCAATATTTGGCATTAGGGCTGGTACAAAAGCTGTCCTCCTCCCAGCTGTGTATTTTTTGTTATTTTTAAAGAGCTTTTTTTTTTTTTTTTTTTTTTTTTTTTATTTTTTCTACAGCCCGCATTTTTGTTCTGTTATTTGTCTTGTACAAGATACTGGTAGCAACTTGACTGCTAGATGCAAGACCTGTTTTGCTCCCTTTTTTCCATTTAATTTGTTTTTCTTTTCTGATTACTTAGCAGAAAGATTCATAGTCCATTTTTTCACTGGTATCCTAAGAAAAAGTAGGTTATGTTCAGACTGTGAAAAACTGACATGGGTCGCCCAGTTTAAACAAGGCTATATTGGCTTTCCTTCATCCAATCAAGCACAATCTGACTAATACGTTTTGTGGCTCTTTTAGCACCTCTGCGTCAATGCTTCTAGTGGGGGCAAGAGGTTGCTTGGAGCCTGTAAATGGTGCGTGATAGCCACTGGCTGTGAAGAGAACTTAATTTTTCAAGCAGCAACTTGTTTTTCTTTAACCAGTGAAAAGTTGGTTTTAGTACAGGCATCCTTATTAAACATTCATTAAATGCAACATTGTTGGGGAAGTCTTTGGATTTAGGCCAAAGGAGTGCTTGACTTAATAGATTTGTAACCAAAGATGTCACTTATATCTACAGTCTTTGCCATGACACTTTTTTTTGCTCCATCTATGTATTTGGCTTGAACAACCTTTTAGAATTCTCTTCAGAGCCAGCTGGCATCACAGTATGCAGAGTTGAATGTCAGACCACCACATTTTAAACATTGTGTTACCAAACATAAATGGTGAGCACAGTCAAGACAACACACGGGTAATACAGGCACACTTGTATATACAAATCTTATCTCCCATGTTTGCTACTCCCACCTAAGACATAAGCACTGGTAGTTTACATTTTTATACGCTGGGGTGTTCCTCTATCTAAGTGGGCAGTTCACCAATGTTCTCCATTGTGACGATTCTTGGCACATTTAAAACTATACAAAGACATTTGGTTAAATCTTTCCTTCCCTATTTTGTTTCAATAGCCCATATTCAATTTATATTTTGTAATGAGTGAGGTCTTCAAAAATGTAGACACCTGGCCATGAAGGGGTTAAACATTCTTTCAAGTTGTTTTTGATGAAATGCATTGCACTAGTTGGAAGGCCTCTAGCTGCAAATGTTTTGTCCTGCTTTTTGCTGCTATGTTTTTAAAACTGATTTTAATCAAAATTTTCAATGCACTTTATTGCTTTTGTGTACCATTACATGATCACTTCCCAGAAGACATCTGCTTTTCTGAATGTTTTAATTAAAAGTTCAGTTGAATTGGCTCTGCCAGAAGAGTGCACACCAGATTCACCAGTTCAGCCACAAATAGTAGCTTCCACCTGCTTGTGGACCATCCTGCATACAGCTTATACAGAACAGTTTAGCACTGTATTACAAATGACACATCTTGACCACCACCTCTCCGAAGTGCCTCTGAATATTTTTCGAGATCCGTGAATGCAGATATTTTCATATGTGCATTTTTATTTTTTTGTGCACACTGTTTCCCGCTGTATTTCAAATATAACATTTGGAGAAATGCTGCTTTGGCATGCTTTAGCAAACCTTTGTGGGATATATGTTTAAACATTTGTAGACCAGCAAAGCAGAAGCTGTAGTTTGTGAGCCTGCCTTCCCTCTGTGCACATGTGAATTTCCCAGTCTTTGCATTGGCTGTTATTTTGTGAATTTAGTCCATGTGCTTGTTGGAACAGATCTATTGTCAGTATATAGTCCACTGTGATACTGATGCACATCACTGGTACCTTGGATTTCAACTTGCGTGCACTGTTTTACAATAAGTAGGTTTATTCTGTCATAGCTTGTCATGTGTGCCTTTGTTTCCTGTAGTGTTGGTAATGTCATCTGTCAGAAATGGTTGTCCGTTTTTATCCACCTTGTCCAAAACCACTTGACAGAAGCCTTTTCCTCAAGTGCTTTAGTGAAAACCTAAAGATTCCTTGTTTAAGCTAACCCCCTTAGCATGTTCCTGTTGTCTGGCAGCTCCCAGACATACATTTTTACCATAGGAAAAGTTGCTCTTTACGATCAAAGCAGTTGTTGACACTAATTGCCACTTAAACAGCTGCATGCATCTCAAACACCTTTTAGAGCATTTAAGGTGTGTCCATTGGTTTGAAGCTAGTAGATCAATATTGGCTTGTTTCACAGTCATTTGTTTTTGGCCTCGTTTATAAAGGTGCACAAGATATGCTTTTCTAAGTCTGTGGTTCTCCATAGCAGCCAGTCCGATTTTCCTTTTCCATTGGTGTAAAGAGAATTAGATTGGTTCCTGTGGGGAGCACGGACTAAGAACGGTCTAGTGCACTTTAGTCCTTATGTACTCGCTACACTCAAACTACCAAGAGCAGTCCTATCCAAAAGGGGATTTCTGAATCCTAAAGAGTACAAACCCAAAGGCTCAATGTAACATCTTAGAGGTTGTAAGGAGAGAAAAACTGTTTAGACTGTCTGCATTTACTATTTCTCAGGTACTGTATATACTATTTTTGAAGTGTATATAGCAAATTACCAGACAAAAGATTACGGTCTTAGTAGTCTGCTCCTCTTTTTGGAGAAGAAAATTGTGTATTGTAGCACAAAGAATCTGTGAACATCTGGAGGTCTGGCATGATGTATAAACACATCTGGAGATGGGAGGACCCTTCTTAAAGCCCATATTGAAAAGATTTGTTGCATGTGCATTGGTAAATTCACTTAAATGGGCAACGTCGTGCTAAATGTTACACCGCTGTGATATTGTCTTATAGCAATATTAAATCATTCTTAAAACAAGCCTCCATTTGTGGATTTCAATTAGGACTGGGTAACCATGACTGTAGATAGGATGACATCACAAAGTCGTTGTAATACCACCTTGACCTATTGTGACTTGTGGTTTTCTATCGAGAGACAACATTATTGGTGTAGCCACAATGTATTTAGTAGGCTGTGCCCATTATTAGTATTATTGCAATGGTACATTGATAGTGGAGTATAAATGATCAGTTGTTTTTTTTTTGTACATTGGCAATCTATTTTTTTTCTATGTGAGGATTTTAAAGTTTATACATTTAGAGGTAATAAAACATATTGTAAGCTATTTTATAAAGACGTTCTGTGATTTTTAATTGATCAAAGCTGCTTTATGTTACACAAATAAAAATTGGATTTCTTCTGTTTTAACCCCTTCCCTACCAGAGGTCAAGACAGTTTGCAGACCCCTCTAAAATCAAAGGGATATACTTTTATTTGCCAAAAGTGATTTATATTGCACGCCTTTTTTCATTCCCTTCATATCCATTCAGTCCGTACTATATTTTTTTTCCCCCTGAAAGCAGATTTAATGTATTTTTATTGCTAAAATAAACTTGGTGGGACCTAGTAGGAGAAACTGGATCTGGATTCAGAATATCCTATATTGTGGTTTTTGTCTTTTGATATCCATTTTTTTTTTTTGGTCCCACAATGGTTGCCCTGCACATCAGGCTAGTTGTGTCTGATCTCAATGATTGTAAAGACATTCATAAATGAAACCTTTTAATGAATTTAACTGAAGTAAATAAACGTAAAATGACGTGCAAAATTGTGTTTTAAAGTCTAACAGAAGCGCATCATACAATTGCAGATTGTTTGGGGAATTGATTTCGCTCAAGGAATACATTTTGCGCTGGCGCATTGCTTAATCCACTTCAGGAAATATAAATATTTTTTATTTTTTTTTTATAATCCCGTAAAGGGTCCGTCCACTTAAAACTGATATTAGTTTTGGTACATGCTGAATAGCTAAATTACCAGAGAATTTCTGACATCACTCGGGTAATTCAAGATCTCCATGCTTGAGTTCCTAGGTCTGCACACCTTCCATAATCATGTTGGAGTTCCAACTCTCCCTTCTGGAGTCTTCATTTTATATAATGCAGAGTGTGGAGGAGGTGCTGGAACAAAGAAAAGTGGGTGGTAAACATTCCAAAACTCCCCAAGATGGGTAGAAACAGAATGTGGAATTGGAGATGGCAGATCTTACTAACCCCACAGGTTACACCTCTTAATGAATATCACTTTCTAGAGGACTGATTATACATACATACATACATACATACTAGCCCTGGCCAGTGCAAAAGTGTAGCCCTTAAGTAAATCTTCCTGTTATTTTATTTTTTTCTCTGTATTTTTGTATTATGTGACGCACCACTTTTTCACATATCACTCTAATGCTTTGCTGTGAAGGTGCTAAATTTTGGTACATCATTGCCTCTTGTATCCTAAAGTAAAACTCCAGTTTTATTTTGAGGGAATAACTAGCTACTCATCCAAAGATGGTAGTACATTGCAGATTGTAGTTTACAATAACATTTGTGATCCTGCCCCATTGGGTTTGTTTTCATTTTGTAATAAAGAGAACTGGAGTTTTTCTATAGTTATTGACACAGATGTCTCTCTGGCAAAGCATACATACCATGTGGGTCAATGAACCTAAACAGCCCAAGCTCCCTGATGATAATTTTAACCTTTCAAACTAATTTAGGTTCTGAGCAGTCAGAACAGGATATATTGAAGCTCCCTCTTCCCATTTGTTCACCATCCATCAGTCTCCAGAATGGATGCAGTAAGTGTCCTTGGGTGTCGCACTTTGACCTGAATGACCAATATGTGCAGCTTACTACTGTTATTCTCCCCATGTACCTCCAGTTCTGGAATGGGCACCATGATGCATAAAACAATATTTTCATATTTCAGTAATCATTAAAATTTTACCTCGCTCCCCAGAATTTAAGCTACTTTTATCGCATGAGGTTACTTTCTCTGTAATAGTAGTGGCTGTTCTTTTTAAAATGTGCATTTGTGGGCATTTCCTCCTATAATTTGATACATTTTAATATGGATTTCTACAATTGGCACATTTCCATGGAGGCTGTTGGATGCTCTACCTGTCTTGCACCGTGTTGATCCTGTCTGTGCCACCATTGGAATTGCTGTACTGCTAAACCATGAATAAGTGAAATTGTGTTGTGTATTACCTGACAAATAGAT